GCTAGTGATATATAAATAGAACCTCCAGACTGAGGTCTCTTTTACACTGTCATATATTATCAAAACAGACAATCCACACTATCTGTGTTGAACTGGATTATAGGAGTCTACACTGCCAGATAATCAAATTCAAAGCAGATAATCAGTGTAAAAAGGGCCTTAGTGGCAGTGTACTTCAGTCTGATTGATACTTCTGGAAGGACAAACAATGAGTCCTTCCACACATATAACCCAGAATATCAAGGCAGATAATCCACAATATCTGCTTTGAATGGATTATCTGAGTCCACACTGCCATATATTCCAGTTCAATGTGGATTTTATATTGTTCCCAGGTTCTCTTTGTTCCTTGTTTGACCTTTTATTGTATATTTCATGTGATTTGGCCATTCCTGCTGATTTATTTTCTAGCCAGGATGATGAAATCTTTCCCAGAGGATCTTTTCACTCACCTCTCCATGACTCTGGAATGAAGTGCTGGAAGAGCCTCGACAGTTACCGGTAAATCAGCTGTCAGAATTAAAGACACATCCGAAAATGTATCTCATTCGGAAGGCCTATCAGTCAACTTTAAATTATGAATTTTAACCTCAATTTTATTGGTTGGTCTTGTGTGTATTTTGTTATATGTATTTTAAGAGTGTTGTGTTGTATTTTAGTAGTGTTGTGTCTGTTTTAACCATGTTGTACCACTCCTTGTGCTGATAGCAGAGGCAGGTAACAAATATATTCCCTTTTCCTCTTCTTCTTTTTCCTCCTTTCCTTCTCTTCTTCCCGAGACTAGCTATGTTTCTGCAAAAGAAGTAAAAAGGGGTTAGCTTGTATTAATATACATACACACAAAATTTAGGTTTCTCCCCTTCTCTTTTATATAACTATTTAGCAAGCCTTTTCTCCCTGCTACTGTCTTCAGCATGCTTCATCTCTGGAGGCAGCGGAGATGCTCACAGTAATATGAAGAATACAGTTGCAAAAGTCAGTGAGCATCACATGTTAAGAAACATCAGGGAATACAAACTGACAGGGAACTCTTTTCTGAGCACAAATGTTCCTCTCACATTGTACATCTGACTTGATTACGTCTGCAGCTAATGTTAATCTCTTTATAACCCACTAAGGTATGTGCAGTGAGCCCTCAACATTTGATAGGGTTAAGGGCACAGAATTCCTGCAAAAGTGGGAAAACTGCAACCAGAAAACCCACTATTCTGGAACTTGACCATAGAACCATGCTGGAAGACCTACAAATGCCCAGAGAAATGTTCTCACTAGGAATGTCTATATCTTCCAGTTCAAATCTATGGACAATTTCAAGTTGACCATGGAGTTGCACTGAAGGACCTAGAGATTTCTAGAGAATACATATTAATCAATTACATAAAAGGGAAACCTGCAAATGTGTCAGACCCATTACAGAAGTGTTTCTTCTAACCACCTTCAAACTAGAATTTTCATCACCATTCCCAATCTTGTGAGTTTTTACAACACATACTGTACCTCTCTTTCCATACTTTATCTGCTGTGTTCTAGAAAATACAGTCAACTTTCCATAACCAGATTTTGAATTCATGGAGTCAACCATCTACTGCTTGGTTTTACCATTATCTACAAGGGATGCAATTTTACCATGTCATATATAATGGTACTTGAGCATTCATGGATATTGGTATCTGCAGGGGGTTCTGGAACCAAAACACAGCAGATGCCAAGAATACTCTGTATCCCACTCCCTTTGAGGTCATTTGGGATCTACTTCCTTTCTTTCCAAATATTTTGACACCGTGGGGCCGTTTATGTCTGGAAGCTCTGTCAAACTGGCTACGTGCTAGGAGACTGAAGGTGAACCCGGCAAAGACTGAGATTCTCTGGCATGGCCGCCCGGCAGGTCTGACTCCTCCATTACCCACCTTCGATGGTGCCGCCCTATCTCCATCGACCACTGTTAAGAGCTTAGGTGTCATCCTGGATTCACAGCTGACAATGGAAGCTCAGGTCGCTGCTGCCAGCAAACAGGCCTTTTTCCATCTACGACAAGCGAGGCAACTGGCACCCTACCTATCTGACGAGGCTCTGGCAACTGTCATCCATGCCACGGTCACGTCTAGGCTGGACTATTGCAACGCCCTGTATGTTGGCCTTCCGATGTCTACAACCCGAAAGCTTCGTATTGTTCAGAATGCGGCAGCCAGGTTACTCACAAGAACGCCCATGAAATGCCATATAACACCAGTGCTGCAACATTTACATTGGCTTCCAACTGAGTACCGTGGCCTGTATAAGATGCTAGTTCTGACCTTTAAAACTCTTTATGGCCAGGGTTCACCGTACCTTAGGGACCGCCTCTCCTTCTCCCATCATCGGAGGTCGCAACGACCAGCCCAATGTGACTTACTCCATATACCGGGTCCTAGAGAAGTGCACTTGGAAAGGACCAGACGCAGGGCTTTTTCTATTTCTGCCCCTGCCTTGTGGAATTCCTTGCCACCCTACATGAGAGCCATGCGTGACTTAGGGCCTTTTACTCTCGCACTTAAGACCTGGCTTTTTACTAGAGCATTCGATCTCTGTTAATTTTTAATTTTTGTATGTATGTATTTTATCTTTTATAATTTAGCTGTAAATCGCCTAGAGCATTCTCGGATGGAGGGCGATCAATAAGTTATTAAATGATGATGATGATGATTTACAGCTGATGTGCTTTGTAATTGTGTAATTTCTGTTGTTTTAACCATTGTTTGCTGCTTTAAGTCTCATCCATGGGAGAAAAATGGGATAGAAATTAATTAATTCATAATTTATGGAGACTTATGTGGGAAGTATACTATAGAATCCACCCTGAGTCCCTCCGGGGAGATAAGAGTGGAATATATCATATATACTCGAGTATAAGCCGACCCAAATATAAGCCAAGGCACCTAATTTTACCACACACAAAAACCTAGGAAAATGTATTGACTTGAGTATAAGCCTAGGATGGAAAATGCAGTAGCTACTGGTAAATTTCAAAATAAAAATAGATAACAATAAAATTACATTAATTGAGGCATCAGTAGGTTCAATGTTTTTGAATAATTACTAATAAGACTGTCCACTCTGATTAAACCATTATTCCAACCTTCTTCAACATAAATGTGCTTGCGTATCCTGCCAATTTATGGTGACCTCATGCATTTCTCAAGGTTTTCTTAGGTGGGACTTAGAGGTGGGTTTCCTTCCTCTGAGTACTTCCTTCACAGGGTTTTCTTAGGCAAGGAATACTCAGAGGTCAGCTCCTTCCTATGAAATATAATATACACCAACTGACATTTGTTGGCAGTCTTCCATCCAAGTACTAACCAGGGGTGACCCTAGTTAGCATCCAAGATCAGATAGGATCTGGTGCCTTTAGGGTATTTACAGTACTACAATTGTATAGGATGAAAGGAATCCTGGATACAGGGAACTGTACAACTAATGTTATGCAGCTAATGGGACTTTGTGTTGTTGATTCTCTCAATGAATAGATGTTTCAAGACCAGATTGCAATATGCAGGAATGCCTGTTGCTAACATAATCAACATGGTTCTTTAGCAAATGGTAGCAACATAGATATTTGCCTCCCTTCACAAGTTACTAATTATGTTTCAGGTTTTTTGGCAGTTGAAAGAAAAGCCTGAGGAAGTGAATGTTTAAATTAGGGTGACATTTCTCATCAAACTGATAATCTCTCCACATGTCTAATAGTGAAACCATGTAAACAGTTCAGAATATTTAATTCAATCTACAAGTGCCATTTAGCAAGAGCTGTTCAGAACCAGAACTCTATGGGTGGCTTTACCATTATAATGGTATAAGATATCCTGCCAAATGGTAGTGAGCTGAACCATGGAAGCTACAGAAACATTTCCACCTAAGGTCTCATTAGAAAGAATTCAGAATGCTATGCTGGCAAGTCCTCCTCTCTCCTGCTCACTTAGGGAACACACTTATCCCATCACCAAAAATGTTGATGTTATGCTAGTTTATTGTATTCTAGTCTTAAGACCACATTTCCCCCATATATACATCTCTCAAATCCTGTGCATCTAAGAATCACAGGATATATATATATCCCCCTTTCTTTCTTTCTTTCTTTCTTTCTTTCTTTCTTTCTTTCTTTTTCTTTCTTTCTTTCTTTCCTTCCTTCCTTTTCTTTCTTTTTCTTTCCTCCTTTCCCCTTCCCAGTCCCCTTCCCTTCCCTTTCACTTCCCCTCCCCTCCCCTCCTTTCTTTCTTTCTTTCTTTCTTTCTTTCTTTCTTTCTTTCTTTCTTTCTTTCTTTCTTTCTTTCTTCTTGCCCTTCGCTTTCCCTCCCCTCCCCTCTTCTTTCTTTCTTTCTTTCTTTCTTTCTTTCTTTCTTTCTTTCTTTCTTTCTTTCTTTCTTTCTTTCTTTCTTTCTTTCTGTGGTCCAGCATTAGTGTGTATCTTATGATCAATGGCATCTTAGAATCAAAGAAATATGGTAACAACAATTTGATATTGTTTCAAAAATTTTAAGTCCCCGTTATCAGCAAGGGACTCTCTTCCCAAACTCCCAGTCTAATGAAGTTCAAGTATCATTTAACTGATGTAAAATGTTTCCTCTCAAAGATGGCTGCTGTTAGAGAAGGCGTTATCTCTTCTCTATATTGATTTTTAAAAGAACAATTTAAGAACCTGTAACTCTTGCAAGGTGCCACAGCAAGAAAGTCAACAACGTTTATGAGTCCAACAGCTGTTATGGTGGTATTTCCTGCATTTGCAAATATTACATTTCCAAAATGCCAGGGGACTACATACCCTTCGCACATATTGCAAGTTAACCAGTAACAGGCTTAGTCATCCAGGATCTTGACTTCGTTGTATAAAATATAAACCAGGAATCACCCAAACGGCTTTCTCCATTTGAATTTAGCTCCAAAAAGTGCTGTAAGTGTATCAAGCACTTTGATGCATTTTGTGGTGTGGTGGAGGTGGGAATGGATTTATTTGAAGACCCTAATGCATGTGTGTTTGTGTATGTGGCCTCTTTCAGAGCTCAATCTGCACTATGTATTCATCCAAAATCCTGCTTGCCACTCTGGTGATGCTTTTCCTGAGCCCTGTGACAAATTCAGTGGATATTGACACTGCATTGAGGAAGCAACTCGGTGAAGTTGAAAACATGCGTATGGTGAAGAACGCCACTGACATTCTGAACTGGGTAGATGTTGTGAAAAGAAAAGGTATTTTCTATTTTATTAGGCATTTTAGTTCTGGTTATTGACTCGTGTGTGTGTGTGTGTGTATGGCATTGATAAAACTAGTTTCCTTAGGTATGGCTGTTTTCATGTGTCTTTGATAAATGTTAAGGAATAAAATGTTAGAAAAACATTTGAAATGCTTTTTAAAAATGTGATCAAGAATAGCCCTGGCATGCTTAATTGGAATATTTCGGGAAAGAAGAGGTAAGAACTACTTTTTCTTTCCAATAGCTTAGAAAAAAAAAGTCGTGCCTTCACTAGTGCTTTGCTGCCCGAGTAACTTCAAAGTTATATGCCTGCTGTCGCTCTACAAAAGATGCCTCTCCTTTCTTTATGTTGTCAAATTCTAGGAACTAATGGATCATTTTGAATTTCCAATCTCAGCTTTGATTACTCTTATTAAAGGGTGCATCTACACCACTTTAACTGTTATGGTTCAGTGCTATAGAATCCTGGACACACTTTTTAGACATGCATCCTTTTGACGCATGGTTTTTACGGAAAAACCGGAGGGTAAATAAACCTCTTATAAGAGACACAGACACATGTATAGACAACAAAATGTATGGAGACACAATATAGTTTTCATTTATATTTTGAAAAATATATGATTTGTCAGATATTATGTTTGCATGACACACCTACATACTCAGCCGACACACTAATGTGTTGCGACAGTTTGGAAAGCTCTGCTCTAAATGATGTGTGGTGTGGTATGTACTTTACGTGTGTGAAAGGAGGCAATACTAGTTGCAAAAAGAAAGCCAATGGCTTAGCTTGCACCAGTCAGTAGGCAGAAAGGGATGTTTATAGTATAACAAGGAGAGAGTCAAAGAAAGGGAGCCAGATTCCTATAGGCATTGGAAATCTACGCAGATTATAACAACGTAAGTTAGCAGGAGACATTCAGGAATTCTCCTCTGCAAATTCTGTTCTACATCATTTATTTAAATGACTGCTGATTTTATAACAAACAGACAATGCCTTCTGTTTTCGTTTTGCTGTCATAGGCTACAGTGATCAATTATATTTTTAATATTTTTTCTTCCTCATACACAGAGACATAGAGAAACAGTATGAGGATGGGTTTGACAACACAATGCCATCCCAGCTGGGTTTTCTATTTACCTCATATTCAATGTTTCTATTGTCAAACCCATTTCTCTGATCCAGAATTCCCTTTCTATAAAATGATCTGCTTTCTATTTTTATCTCATTACTTTCTCTCATTAGTATTCCTCACATTTTTGCCACAAGCGCCTCCTTCTCAGCCTTTCTATCTCCAGGTTCTTTCCCTCATATGCACTGTCAATTTATTGTTATTGAATTTTGCTGGGCATCTGTCAGCCAAACTGCAGTCTAAGCATGGTTCAATAAATTTTTAATATATTTTTGTATAGTTTCAGGCCTTCTTAATGAAACTAAGTCAATCTTTCTTCTCTGTATAGGAGATTTCTGTCACAGGGAAACAATTTAATTCACCTCTTATTGATTGTGATTCTGTTAGAATCAGATAACTTCTTGTTAGATTCAGATAACTTCCCTTGCCCTTCCTTTGCATCTCATCTGGAGAAAACGAAGCCGACAATTCTTTTGCTTGTAGTGGCAACAGTTTGTTGGCAAGAGACAATTGAAGCTTGAAAATTGTAAGGCCTTTCTCAAAATCTGGGCTGGACTGTAAACTCAGGGATTAATGAAGCTGAGGCCCCTTCCACTCATCTGAATAAAATCCCAGATTATCTGCTTTGAAGTGGAATTATATGGCAGTGTGGACTCAGATATCCCAGTTCAAAGCAGATATTGTGGGATTTTCTGCCTTAATATTCTGGGTTATATGGCTGTGTGGGGAGCCCCCAGTGGCACAGCGGGTTAAAGCACTGAGCTGCTGAATTTCAAATCCGGGGAGTGGCATGAGCTCCTGCTGTTGGCCCCAGCTTCTGTCAACCTAGCAGTTTGAAAACATGCAAATGTGAGATCAATAGGTACCGCTCCAACGGGAAGGTAACAGCAGTCCATGCAGTCATGCTGGCCACATGACCTTGGAGGTGTCTACAGACAACACCGCTCTTCTGCTTAGAAATGGAGATGAGCACCAACCCCCAGACAGATATGATTGGATTGAATGGCAGGGGAAAACCTTTACCTTTACCTGGCTGTGTGGAAGGGCCAAGTCTGCTACAGATTTTGCTCAATCTTTATTATGCTCAGTAGGTATAAACAAAGTGAAGTATCCATTATCTGCAATTACAAAATCTAAAATATTCCAAAAATACGACATCACTGAGTGATTGAGGTTTCAATATTTGTAAGTTGCAAGATTCTTATAGTGTTCCACGTTCTTAATACCAGGAACACAAAAGATAGCTATGCAACACAAGTGACTTTATGTGAATAATTTTTTGTTCCCTAGCTATCCCATATATGCGGGACTGTGAAGAGATGTTCCAAGCAGGTCACACAGAGAGCGGCCTTTACATCATACGGCCTGAAAACACCCGAAAACTTGTGGTCCAGTGCTACATGGATGGCTGTAATGGGTGGACAGTGATCCAACACAACACCCACAACACTGAAATCACATGGTCGGAAACCTGGACAACCTACAAATATGGGTTTGGTAACTTGGAGGCAGACCACTGGCTGGGCACCGAGTACATTCGTCTCATTACTCAGCAGAAATGGTACAGAGTCAGAATAAATCTAGTTGATGCTGATGGTGCCCACAAATATGCAACCTATGATAGCTTTGTCGTGGATAATGAGGATAACGGTTACGCGCTGAAGTTAGGGACTTATGAGGGTAATGCAGGGGACTCTCTCAGTAATTCCCGACTCAAAAACATGCATGACAACATGAAATTCTCATGCAAAGATCAAGACAATGACAGGTCTACTTTGAACAACTGTGCTGATGTCCATGGAGGGGGTTGGTGGTATGACAACTGCTTTAATGCACAGCTAAATGTCAAAGGTGCCATTCACTGGAGCACATTATGCCAAAAAGATTGTAGGAAGTCAGTTATACTACTGAGACCCACCTACATGTTCTGCAACAGGGTTTAGACTGGGCTCAGGTTCTAATGTCATGAACGGAGGTACTGATGAATAGAATAAGAATAAGCAGTAAATCTGCAAGTTGCTTTGCTTCCATACATTTTTTAAAAAGATGGTTAGTTACTTTTGTTACCCCTGGTGGCAGAATCATAAGCCAATATTACTGAATGACATTTCTGATTGCTACTGAAGTCAGTACATTCTTTATTAAAATTACTATTCAGCCAGCATAGACCACTTGTCTTTTTTCCCCTAAAAAAACTCAATTAAAATTTACTATCTTATCATTCATGGAATCACATAATTTCTTCTGCACATATAATTTTTAGCACACCAATTAATTGCAGCTGAACAACATAATCCTTGTGAACTGCTTGGTTTCTTGGTTTAGGGTATATGCATTCAGCCATGTGAATCTTGGGCCCACCTTTACAGAATTGTGAGATGATAGCCAGGGATCCCAGAAGGGTGAGTCTCCTCAGAAATGATCAAGCAGCAGTGTACTAAATGATGAAAAACTAAGAAATAACATAGGAATTACACTGAGTCTTCCCAATCTATCCTATGTCCCTTATTTGGGACAAGCTACACTGGATACAGGGAAGGAACTTCTAGATATTGTTGTTGTTGTTATGTTTATTTATACCCCATGTTTTCTCTCCATAAGGAGACTCACAGTTGCCCACATTAAAAGCATTTCAATACAGTTTAAAATCTAAAAATATAAAAATACTGAAACAGAATTAAATATAAATGATATTAAAATTCAGTTAAAATCCATAAAAATAATCAAGGCTAAAAACCACAGCACCCCGACTTGATCTTAAAAACCTTGTTCTTTAAAAGCCTGCCTGAATAATAAGGTTTTAGACAAACACTACAGTAGACGGACAGCAGGGAGATGGCCATTCTGGCTTCCCTGAAAGAAGGGAGTTCCAGAGTTGAGGGGCAGCCACCGAGAAGGAAGGCCCGCTCTCTCATTCCCACCATCCGAGCTTGAAATGGAGGTGGGACTAAGAGAAGAGCCTCTCCTGCAGATCTCAGGGCCCGGGCAAGGGAATGCAGTCAGCCAAATAGGCCGGACCGGAAGTGTCTAGGGCAGGGGTCCTCAAACCTTTTAAACAGAGGGCCAGGTCACAGTCTCTCAAACTGTTGGAAGGCCGGATTATAATTTGAAAAAAAATGAATGAATTCTTATGCACACTGCACACATCTTATTTGTAGAGCAAAAAAACCACTTAAAACAATACAATAATTAAAATGAAGAACAATTTTAACAAATATAAACTTATTAGTATTTCAATGGGATTTGTGGGCCTGCTTTTGGCTGATAAGATAGGATTGTTGTTGTTGTGTGCTTTCAAGTTGTTTCAGACTTAGGTTGACCCTGAGCGAGGGCCAGGGAGGGCCGCATCTGGCCCCCGGGCCTGAGTTTGAGGACACCTGGTCTAGAGCTTTAAAGGCCATAACCAGACTGGCAGCCAGTGGAGCCACTGCAATGGGGGGTGGGGGTGGTTGCCAGCTTCCTGTAGCTAGCTCCAGTGAGCAATCTGGCTGCAGCTCTTTGGACCCGCTGAAGTTTCTAAGCATTTTTCAGAGGCAGCCCCATGTAGAGCATGTTATAGTAATCCAGACGGGATGTAACTAAGGCATGTACCATTTGTGCTTGTACGTCTTCATATTTAAAGATGAACTTGCCCTTCCCCCTTCAAGAAAGCACATTAATAACAATCTGCCTGCCAAGCTTGAGCTCTCCCAGTTCTGGGATCCCTGGGTATTATAATTCATAAGAACAATACACTGTATATCAAGGTCCCGGGATGTTTGCTTTTTTGTATTTCTATACAAATGGGGAAAGGTAGGAATGAAGGAATCAGGCTGCACCTTTGAGTTATTTTTGGCAGGATTTACAGAGATAGATAATCCAGATTATCAAAGCAGATCATAGAATCAAAGAGTTGGAAGAGACCTCATGGGACATCCAGTCCAACCCCCTGCCAAGAAGCAGAAATATTGCATTCAAATCACCCCTGACAGATGGTCATCCGGCCTCTGTTTAATCCAGATTGTCTGCTTTGAACTGGATTATATGAGTCTACACTGCCATATACTCCAGTTCAAATAAGATAATCTGGATTTTACATGGCACTGCAGATGAGGTCTTAGTGTGAGCTTTCATGAATGCCACTTCACATCTTCTGCTGCACTTGGAAAAGTGCTTAACAGACTCTGTCGGGAATTGTCCTACAGAATCTACCATGCAATAATAATAATAATAATAATAATAATAATAATAATAATAATGAATTAATTCTCAAATAAAGAAGCTAATTAACAATTAACAACGGGGAGAAGCAGCGGATTACAGGAGGAACTGAAATTTTCAGGCCACTATAAGCAATGTTGAAAATGTCAGAGTAATTAGCTGCACCAAGATAAATTTTCCTCTATTAAGCGAGGAGGGTTGGGAGCTTTTTCCCCTTTTAGATGATCCTCAAGACATCAAGTTACACGAAGGTTCTTTAGCTACCTAGCAGAACATACACCATTCTCTTTTTCCTCCAGTGAGATCACAATGTTCTGTGCTTCTTCTGCTCTTTCAGAATAATATGCAGACAAAAGAGAATGCCAGCTTTTCCAGTTCAATGCCTTCCAGTGCAGTGCCTGGCAAGTAACACTCCCTCTGAGTTTTAAGATGGATTTTAGAGGCACGTAGGACACCAGAGTCTTTGAAGTGTGGCTTTAATTTTTTAAGACAGAGGCTTCCAGTGAATACAGGTTGGCAATCTTCGACAACAAAAAATTAGAATCAAACAAAATCAGGCCTTTTCTTTCCTGAAATGGGAACACTTAATGAAATCTTTAAAAATTGGGAAGCAACCTTCAAAAGAGAATACATAATTTACAAATCATGCCTCTTTATGCTTGAGGCAGATTTAAAATATTGATAATCGAGTCCCTTCTGGAAGTATATGGCGCATGTTTCAACCTGATCCAGTATGTTGGGGAAAGGTTACCATTTGGGGCATATATCTTCTCCCCACTTCTGCCCATGAGCGCACGGAAAGTCTTGTTCTGAGACAAGATTTTATTATAGAACTCCACGCCACCCTTGGCAAAGTCAGTAGACAAGGAGGCTGCGCTTCTGTCTGCCTTGTAATCTACTGCTTGGCTCACAGCGTCATAAGACAGGCAATAGCCCAGAAGTCCAACTGCCAGCACAGTTAAGTTGTAAAGTCCTCGTAAAAGCACTGGACCAGAATACAAGCCCAAGAGCTGTTTAATGGCCACTCCACAGATGTATGTCCCAGCTAGGCAAACAGGAGCAACCGCAGCACATGCCAAGGGGCCATTGTTTTGCAAGTACATAGCCTCTCTTGCAATGGCAAACTTCTGAGCCTCTGGAGAAAATGTCAGGGTGTCCTTCAAGATCAGGCCTTCTGGGCTCTCCCAGTCCACTTCTTTGCCTTCAATGATAACAATGTGGTTGGCAATCTTATGCTCATTGTTGGTTGCATCACAAAAATTGGTCGGGATGCCCACAAGACTGCCAGCAGGCATCCAGGAAAGGCCGGCGCTCACCGGGTGAAAGCTAAAAGCTACAAAGGCTCGGTAACGATTTCTTGACTGTATTCTGCCTTCAGTAAGGACCTCATGGAAGAGATGCTGTAAGTTTTCTGGAAGCTCCATCGGCTTCCCTTTCTCCCAGGCCTGATACAATGGTCTAAAGGTGTCCTCTGGTAAGATGTGAAAGGTTAAGTTAGCTCCAAAGAGTCCAGCACAGGAAATGGTCAGAAAACCAGTCCGGTGCCTCTCCACCATGGCTGCCACTTTCCAGAAGAACCGAGCTAACATATTTAACTTCTAGCCTGTTCAAATTTAAGAAAAACATTAAATTAACATACCTGTGCACAAGAATTTCAGTTCCTCCTCAGAAAATGTTATATTTGTTTTCAGCACATTCAGTAGAAAGGAATATACCACACACAATATCTTTGATTTTCTTAGTCATTCTCAACTTACAAGTCATCAGAGGGCAGTCATTTTTGATTATTTTTCAAGTGATAGTGATAGAGGAAGAGAAGCAGCAGCAATATATTTTGACTCCAACTGTCAAACTATTTAGTCTGTAGCTCTAAGCACCTTGGGGGGGAGGGGTGGACTTCTGACTACATAAAGGTTAAAGTAAAGATTTCCCCTTGACATTAAGTCTAGTTGAGTCCCTCTCTGTGGGGTGGCAGTCAACTCCATTTCTAAGCCAAAGACCTGGCGTTGTCCATAGACACCTCCAAGGTCACGTGGCCAGCATGACTGCATGGAGCTGTTATCTTCCCACTGGAGTGGTACCTATTGATTTACTCATATTTGCATGTTTTTGAACTGCTAAGTGGGCAGAAGCTGGGGCTAACAGCAAAAGCTCACACCACTCCCTGGATTCAAACCGGTGACCTTTTGGTCAGCAAGTTCAGCAGCTCAGCAGTTTAACCCACTATGCCATCGGGGGCTCCTACATAGGCCTGGCTAAAAGCACCCTTAAAGAAATACATCTCTGCTAATTTAAAATATGTACTGTATGTCTGAATTGTACTGTTGAAGTCCAATTTATAAAAGCATAAACACAGAGCAAACATGGAGTGCATCTACACTGCAGAATTAATGCATTTTGATACCACTTTAATGGCCATGGCTCATTTCTATGGAAAAGAAAAAATGTTTCCAACTTCATTATTGTTGTGCATGTTTTAAAAACCTCATCTATATTCTCCCCTCATGCTTCTGTAGACAGTTTATTTATAACCAATGGAAAGTCACACTCCAGTTGCTGTCTTTATTATTAATTTCTCTACTTTCCTTTCTCAAAGACCAATGGGGCCTTTCAAATAAGAAGCAGCAAGTACAAGTGATGCCACTTCTAAATTTCTGAGGCCCAGGAGGAAAAAACATAAATAACAGAAGCCACAAGTCACTGATAAATACAAAAGATAACATGATTTCCCCACTTTCTATAGGTCATTGTGATTTTTTAAATCATGTCAGAAGCAACTTGAGAATATACTGCAAGTCACTTCTGGTTTGAGAGAATCGGCCATCTGCTGCGATGTTACCCAGGGGAAGCTGGGATGTGTTATTATGTCCCTGCAAGCTAGAGCTGACAGATGGGAGCTCACACAGTCTCATGGATTTGAACTGGCAACCTTTAGGTCAGCAGTTCAGCCGGCATAAGGGTTTAACCCATTGCGCATATGTTCATTCAAGTCCTTTGTCCATGAATTCCACATATGTAGTTTAATATGGCAAGCAGTATCCAGAGGTGGTAATGACAGTTCTTCCCTCTGAAATAGAGCCTACAACAATTGGTATTTGTTGGGTGCCTCCCACCCAAGTGTGAACCAGGGCTGACCTATTTAGCTTCCAAGAAAAGAGGAGATCTGGTAACTTTAGGACATACAGACCTTAAAGTCCATAGGGGTCATTTCCTCTTCGTTCTCTTCTATTCCAATTCCAAGCACAATTCAAAGTGCTGGTTTTGACCTATATGGCTCCGGTTCAGTGTACCTGTTTGAATGTATCTCCTTCTACGTCCCACCTCAGAGTTTAAGATCTTCTGGGGAGGCCCTGCTCTCGGCCCCGCCTCTGTCTCAGAGGCGACGAGGGTTGGGGACGAGGGTTAAGGGCCTTCTCGGTGGTGCCCCCCCCCCCCCGCCTGTGGAACTCACTCCCTGGGGAAATTAGGTCATCTACATCCTTCCTCACCTTTAGAAAAAAGTCAAATCGTGGATGTGGGACCAGGCCTTCAGGTAATTAAGCGGACAATGACAATAACAATATTGGCAATGGCTTGGAAATGGATTATGGATAAGTTTGATGGAGCATTTAACTAGTTTTTGGCTAACAATGGCCACTAAAGTGGTAATTCGTGGTAGTTTTTAATTGTATTGCTGCCGATTGGAAGCCACCCTGAGTCCCCCTCCCCCAGGGGGTTGATAAGGGCAGGGTACAAGTGTTTGAAGCAAAATAAATAAATATTTACTCTTATGCAACTACGTGAAATTATGACACATAAAGTTACAATTCTTTCTTGGAAGTTTGGTTTGCAAATCCTGAAGCAACATTAAAATTACCACTTTTTAAAGTTACATTTGTTGCAGATGCCATTTCACCAGAATCTGACAGCTAGTGGATTTGCCAAATATGGATGCAGCTACACCAGGCATGAGCAAACTTTGGCCCTCCGGGTGTTTTGGACTTCAACTCCCACAATTCTTGGCCTCAGGCTTAAGCGGCTGAGGGGGAAAAGGAAGGGGCCTGAGGCCAAGAATTGTGGGAGTTGAAGTCCAAAACACCCGGAGGGCCAAAGTTTGCCCATGCCTGATCTACAATGTAGAATAACTGACACCATTCTAATAAGTCAAATGCTCTGGGATGATGGGGTTTGTAGTCCAGGGAGGCAGCAGCCCTCTTTGTCAGAGAAGACTAGAGACTTTGTGGAACTACAACTCCCAGTATTCCATAGCAACGAGCCATGACCATTCAAGTGGTATCAAAATGCATTAATTCTGCAGTACAGATGCAGATAATAACAGATTATAATATTAATGGCTGGAGGGTTTTTAACTACCCCTGCCAGCTTCCCCTTGAATGAGTGGCAGCAGAAACTGAACCATTGATTTGCAAAAGGAACTGGCTGCTATTCTTCAAAGTTAGGCATAGGGCCCTGTTTGAGGATTCACATTCACAAGGGAGCTCAGAAAAGGAGGAGATGTGTGCTCCATGTACTTACAATGGAAAGGGGACAGGAGAACAGGATCAAAGCTAGCTCTCTCTCTTTGCTGCCCTGCATTCATCCTCCAGCAGGGAGAAGGCGCACGTGGGCGCCGTAAAGAAAGCGTGCTGCCGTGAAAGCGACGGGGAGGGCTAGCGGCGGGGGTGCGGCGTTGCCATAGCGACGAAGAGCGCTTTGCGGCCGAGCTGTATTCATTCTTCAGTGGAGATGGGTTCTCAGATCCTTTCTTCTCCTTATAAAGAGGTGGAGGAAAGAGGCAAGAAAGTGATGGATCTTGCAAACACAGGGTGTCCCCCCCCCCCCAAATGTACACATACATTCTTAATAGTATACACACTTACAATTCTGGATTAATATTACTTTAAAATATATACACCCTTAACAGACATGTGCTTTTCACCTTAAGAACAGACAAGCATCCCAAGCTCTGAGGATGACCTGGGAAGGAATCCCACTGGAGCATTGCAGCGCACCCAAATACCTGGGAGTCACTCTGGACCGTGCTCTGACCTACAAGAAGCACTGCCTGAACATCAAGCAAAAAGTGGGCGCTAGAAACAATATCATACGAAAGCTGACTGGCACAACCTGGGGATCACAACCAGACACAGTGAAGACATCTGCCCTTGCGCTATGCTACTCTGCTGCTGAGTACGCATGCCCAGTGTGGAACACATCTCACCACACTAAAACAGTGGATGTGGCTCTTAATGAGACATGCCGCATTATCACGGGGTGTCTGCGCCCTACACCACTGGAGAAATTACACTGTCTAGCCGGTATCGCACCACCTGACATCCGCCGGGAAGTAGCAGCCAATAGTGAAAGGACCAAGGCAGAGACGTCTCCAGCTCATCCCTTGTTTGGGTATCAGCCAGCACGTCAACGACTTAAATTAGAAATAGTTTTCTAAGATCTACAGAGACACTCGCTGGAACACCTCAGCAAGCAAGAGTCCAAAAGTGGCAGGCTCAAACCCGGAACCTCAACCAATGGCTGATACCAAATGAGAGACTCCCCCCTGGGCACACAGAGGACTGGACGACTTGGAAGGCGCTGAACAGACTGCGCTCTGGCACCACGAGATGCAGAGCCAACCTTCAAAAATGGGGCTACAAAGTGGAATCCTCGACATGCGAGTTGGAGAAGAGCAAACCACTGACCACCTGCTGCAATGCAACCTGAGCCCTGCCACATGCACAATGGAGGACCTTCTTGCAGCAACACCAGAAGCACTCCAAGTGGCCAGATACTGGTCAAAGACATTTAATCAACTACCAAACTCACAAATTTTGTGTTTTGTCTCTTTGTTTGTTTTGTTCTGTTAGAAATGTAATACAATTGACTGGTTGCCCTGACACGACAAATAAACAACCCTTAACAGGAGGGAAGAAGTGTCACCAAGTCACAAGAGAAACTTGAAGTGAGGTTTGCACCAGCTCTGTGCTTCCAACAGCGCATTTCTGTAGCACAGTATTTTGCAACCTTCCCCTTAATACAGTTCCTCATGTTGTGGTGACCCCCAAGCATAACCTTATTTTCGTTGCTTCTTCATAACTGTCATTTTGCTACTGTTACTGCATTATGAATCATAATGTAAATATATAATGTGCAGGATGAATTTTCATTCACTGGACCAAATTTGGCACAAATATCCAATATGCCCACATTTGAATACTGGTGAGGTGGGGGGGGGGGGGGTGGATTGGTTTTGTCATTTGGGAGTTGTAGTTGCTTGGGTTTATATTAACCTATAAAGTGCATTCTGAACTCCACCAAGGATGGAATTGGACCAAACGGCAAAAGTATGATAGCTGGAACCCAGTGCTGGTAACGCTATGCTGGTTGCGTAATGTGGTTCTAAATTAGAGAAGGGAACACGTGTGCCAGACACAGCACCATGTGTGCCAGACACAGCACCATGTGCACACGGAGTGAGAGACGCAGCTATGACAGAGTCAACAAGGTAGTTCAGCAGAAAGGGGGGGGGGGGGGAGACGACAGCCAAGCATACTGATGTAGGCTATCCGGAGATCCTTTGCAAGGTAGTTCAGTAGAAAGGGGGAGAGGAAACAGCCAAGCATACTGATGTAGGCTATCCGGAATCATATGCAAACATGTTCAAAAACGTTGTTTCATTGGAAGGAAGGGTAGAAAGAAGGAGAAATATGAACAGTGGTGAAAAATTATTCAAATCCAGTCACTCTTACTTTACTTCACTGTTATCCTGTCCCACCTGTGTTACATTACTTCATTGGTATCCTGCTGCAGCTGTATCTCTCTTGGTGCGCTGTCTCGCGCATGTGTTCCCTTCTCCAATTCAGAGCCGTGTTGCACAACCAGCATAGCATTACCAGTACTGGGTCCCAGCTATCATACTTTTGCTGACCAAACTTCCAACAGAGAACTGCCATGACCAACATAAAATACTGGAAGGGTTTGGTGGGCATTGACATTGAGTATTGGAGTTGTAGTTCACCTACATCCAGAGAGTACTGTGGACTCAGACAGAGATGGATCTGTACCAAACTTGGCACAAATACTGAATGTGCCCAAATGTGAACACTGGTGGAGTCTGGGGAAAATATGCCTTGACATTTGGGAGTTGTAGTTGTTGAGATTTATAGTTCATCTACAATCAAAGAGCATTCTGAACCCCACCAGTGATAGAATTGGGCCAAACTTCCCACATAGAACCTCCATGACCAACAGAAAATACTGTTTTGTGATGGTCTTTGGCAACCCCTCTGACACACCCTCGTGACCTCACCCCAGGCATCCTGACCCCCAGGTTGAGAAACGCTGCTGTAGCATATTAATTTAAAATGAAATTTGTAACTCAGATTAAATATTTAACAAATATATTTACTTAGCTTTGAAATAATCGCCATAGCTACTATGAACTGTTAAAAAGTGTACAGTTGTTTCTCGGCATCTGCAGGTTTTTTATCCATGGATTCCACCACCCACAGCTTGAAGATAGATAGATAGATAGATAGATAGATAGATAGATAGATAGATATCTCCAAAAAACAAACGCTGATCTTGCCATTTTATGTAAGGGATACTATTTTAATGCTCTGTTGTATACTGTGGGGGAAAAAGTATTTAGTCAGATACCAATTGTACAAGTTCTCCCACTTAAAAAGCTGAGAGAGGCCTGTAATTGACATCATAGGTAGACCTCAACTATGAGAAACAATATGAGAAAACACATCCAGAAAATCACATTGTCTAATTTTTATCAAATTTATTTGCAAATTATGGTGGAACATAAGTATTTGGTCACCTACTAACAAGCAAGATTTCTGGGTCTCACAGACAGGCTCCTCTGGCCTCCACTCATTACCTGTAGTAATGGCACCTATTTGAACTTGTTATCAGTATGAAAGACACCTGCCCACAACCTCAAGCAACCACACTCCAAAATCCACTATGATGAAGGCCAAAGAGCTGTCGAAGGACACCAGAAACAAAACTGTCGCCCTGCACCAGACTGGGAAGACTGAATCTGCAGTAGGCGAGCAGCTTGGTGTGAAGAAATCAACGGAGGGAGCAATAATTAGAAAATGGAAGAGATACAAGACCACTGATCATCTCCCTCGATCTGGAGCACCATGCAAAATCTCACCCTGTGGGGTCAAAATGATCACAAGAACAGTGAGCAAAAATCCCAGAACCACACAGGGGAACCTAGTGAATGACCTGCAGAGAGCTGGGACCAACGTAACAAAGGCTACCATCAGTAACCCACTACACTGCCATCTGCAGAAGCTTGATCACGCAATAAAACAACCACAGGCTGAACCACAACACCACACACTCTTTCCAAGGCATTTTAAGGAGGCTTCTTAGAGTTGTTTCTACTCTGGAGGAGAAGTGTTGCAGGCAGGTGTGCACACTCTCCTAGCAGCACATCATGCAGCTTTCCAAGGCATTTTAAGGAGGCCCAGGGAAGGAAGCACGATGACTTGGAGATATCGTCCTTAAGCTTCCTTAAAAAACCCCTCTTTTTTTGGGGCATGCTTCAATCTCCTTTCTGTTTTGGGTTTAATGCTTCCTTAGAGCTGTTTCTACTTTCTACTCTAGAGGAGAAGTAACTAGGTGGTAGTAGTTTTCAGAGAATGGGGGTTTCTTTTTGTTTGCTGGAATTAATAATAATAATAATAATAATCTTTTAGAAGTATTTATTTATTTATTTACAGCATTTCTACCCCGCCCTTCTCAACCCCTGGGGGGACTCTGGGCGGCTAACATAGGCAACAATTCAATGCCACAATATCAATAAACAACAATATAAAACCATGAATATATAAAATTTAAAAATAATAACATTAATTAAATAGTCACATCATATCACATAGCCCTTTCCAATCACATCACAAAGCTGTTTCCAATTATCATAACAGTTGTATAGTCATACGACTGTTATGATAACTGGAAACGGCTTTGTGATGTAATTGGAAACGGTTCAAAGTTCCTGGTGCTGCTGTGCTCACTCGCTGAAAGCCTGGTTCCAAAACCACGATTTTAGTTTTTTCCTACAGGAAAGGAGGGAGGACGTCGATCTAATCTCGGTAGGGATTTGAAGAAGAGGAAGGGAAGGAAGAAAAAAAGCTAAAAGGGTGACTCCCAAGCCCGCAAATGCGCATGCACACTCCACCCACCCGTCCCACATGCCCCCAATTCCCAGTCAGTCCCACTAAATAAAAAGAATCAAGAAAATAAAGGAAAATAATAAAGATTAAACTATGAGCTGAGATCATCTGTCACATGGTCCCGTTACGGATGGGAATCCATGACAGATGGGCCCTTGCTGTTTCAGGCACTGAAGAAGCTGGATTGGCTGAAGGAAACAGCTAAGAATGGATCCACGCTCAATGCCTAATTACTGCTTCTCTCCTGATTTGAGGACAAAAGTAAGAACATACCAAACAAAGACCTCATAGTATTCCTGGTTTGCATTGCAAAGATTGTAATTTTAGAAAGCACAGGGAAAAATAGAAAATGTATCAGTACAGAATTGGATTAACAAAAAATGGGCCATAGCTCTATCTGAGAAACTAGCTCACAAAGTGAGATT